TTTGCTACCTCTCTCCCTCACTGTCAAATCTGAGGATACGGCAGCCACATAAACCCACGTTTCCCTGGGAAACCAAGCTAAAAATAGCCTGCCGGCTGGGAGGGCTGGTCTGGAGTTTCTGAAATCGCAGTTAGGACGAGCTCGCACTGGGGTTAAGTATCTGCATTACCGACCCCGAACGCTGAAGATCCCAGAGTAAAACGTTGCTGTGCCCGGTCACCAGGAGAGCTCAGCCCTTCTGCCAGCCGCCTCTCTGCAACCCCAAAGCGGCCGGAGGGCTCGGACCCGCAAACCCGAGCTGGGGGACGCAGCCTGGTTTAAAACCATCGTCAGCCTGGGCTCAGCTCCCAGCTCGCCTGCGGCGCGGAGGAGACGGCCGATGCCAACCCAGGCAGGAGCCGGCGCAGCTCAGCGGTGACGGAGCAGTCACGGGGGGGTATCCGTCCCCGAGGTGCGGAGGTGGCGTCAGCCGAGGTCCCGCTGCATCCACAGCTCGGGCATCGGAACTCTCCCTCTCCTCTGACCCCACCAAGATGAGCGAAGGAAGGAACGTGTGCTCCAGGGCATCGGGGCATCGGGGGCAGGGGAGTACGGACCGGGCCTTTATTTTATTGCTTTTGGCTGTTCTCACCTGTACAGCAATGAATCACCTTATACGGTCACAACCATCTCTGCAAACACAAATATAACTTATTTCTGCGAGGAGGAAGAGTCCCCCCAGCTGCAAAGCAGTGATTTCTGGAAGGGAGCTCGCTGGGTGAGCAGTCCCAGCAGGGCTGGGCGTAAGGACGGAGCCATCTCCATAAATGTTCCCTTAGCCTGCCCCGCGAGACTGCCTAGCAGATACCCAGACGGGGTGATGGAGAAGGAAGAACACTTTCCCCTTCTCCAATATCAGCTCATCTTCTGAGTTCACACAAGGAAAAGCAAGAAGGGGGGGAAAAAAATCAAAAAAATCCATTGTGCATTTAATTCAGAATCTAATTACTTCGTATAAACTAGTTAGCTGGCTTCCACCTAAGATTTAACATGTAATAGCCTATGAATCACATCTCTGTTACAGGATATATTGTGCCATTTATATGTAAAAATGCTTTATGCAAGGCACCCTGTGGACTTGGGATATTAATTTATACCACAGGCTCTGGAAGATTAAATGAAATTAAAGAAGATAAAGAGATAAGACACCACTGCTGATCAATGCTTCTTAACGAGGAACGTGCTCTACGTGCCTTTGAAGGTGAAATCAGCCATCGGAGTCTCTGCAGCCGTAAGGCCAGTTGGTATATATGAAGACGGCATACATTAAAACCCCACAGGTTGTAACAAGGACTCTCCGGTCAACACCACCAGAACTGTTTCCTTCCGTCTGCTTGCTCCGTCTGCTTTTAAATACCCCGTTTAATCTGCCCAGCTTAACTCCCGTGCACACAGACCCAGGCAGACAATATTCCTCACTGTAATCTTGATTTTCTTCCTTCCAGCGAGCCACGTTTCGTGGCAAGAACTTTTCTGGCAGCTCTTCCAAGTCAAGCCCTATTTATTTCCTGTTGATTTGTGAACGCCGCAGGGAAGAGGGATGAGGACTATCACGCCATGCTCTTCAGGCACCCCAATTTCCCTAACGAGACAGCGACACCCACTCCAAAGGCTTCTAACTCACTTTATAAAGAGCAGTCATCACGCGTTTAGTTATTCCGCCCAAAGGACAGGGCCCGACAGCCACGGGCAGCGGCTGACTAAGGAGTGGCACCGGGAGATGAGGTTCCTCCTCCTGAATCAGCAGCCTGCAACTCCAACAGCACAAAACTGTTTTCATGTTTACGCGCCGTCCCGAGCAGCTCCTCCTCACTACTTAAAAGAGAACAAAACATTACTTACAGTCTAATTTTAAGCTAGTGCCCTGGAGCCAGAAACTGAATTAATTTCCATAGATACTGAATGGTTTTATCAGTATCGTGGAGCTAATTACTTCTCCTCCCCCCCCATCACCATTATTGCCGTCACCTCCTGTAGGGACGACGCAGAAGCAATGTCCTACCCTAGGAACAGCAGCAACCCAGAACTGCCTGGGAGAAGGTGGTAAACGCTCCCGTAGCATCTCCAACATGCCAGACAGCACATGAAAATAACCCCTGGTCTAAAAGCGTTTGGTGAGAAAACAAGAATTATCTGGACTGCAAGAAGCTGGATTTGTTACGCACCCCTAAAGGCACCAGGGTTTAGCTCCAATAACGCAAAGTTATTAGGTGCCAAGAAATGCAGAAGCCACCCAGTGGTATTTTTTTTTCCTGTTGCGCTTTTATACATCTGCTTAGAAATTCGATTCGAGATAAGGGAATTTAGACCGGTACGAGAACACGGCATGCTTTATGCAACTGAAGTGATAAAACCAGGAGGATTCTTGAGTCACTCGAAATGCACAACTGCAGGTGGGATCCCTCGTGCACGCGTTTCAGCGGGTGCCTACACCATCCCGTTGCTATTCTTTGTAAACCTAGGGTCAATTTATCCATACCACGTACGCGTTCAATCATGAGTATCCAAAATAGACAGTTTAATCACAGTACGTGCACAGAAACGCGCGTGTGCCGGTCTAACGGCACACCGGTGCATGGGTGAGCAAGTAGGAACATCCGAGCCTTTCTCTAAATGAATTTGTAAAGAAAAAAACCCAAAACCCTAGGAAAAAGAAAGCTTGAGAGGTGCAGTATATGCACAGTGCTGATGACTTTCTACCCGGGACCGCAAACTTGTTTACAATAACCCTGTAAAAATATACTGGAGTAGGTATAAACAATCACCTCTGTTGGATCGCTTCCACCAGAACAAAAAAAACCCCAAATGATGCTCAACACAGGCCTTTGACAACACAGCTCAGACTCTCCAGTATAGAGCTAGAAGCCTAATTTTCCTTAAAAAAAAATAAAATTAAAAAAAAATAAAATCAAAAGATTAAGGCATCCTGTGATTTAATGGCATCTCTTCAAACAGCCCTGCCTGCAATCAGAACACAAAGGCTTCTGAGCAGGGAGACCAGAAATGGGAATAAAATAACACAAGTGGAGGGGGAGGGAAAAAAGAGTCTAAATGATGCAATAAAAAAAATTAAACATGTCTTTTCAGAAACCACCGGTAAACAAACGAGGGGCCACATTTTGCATTCATTATCATTCCGCTAGCAATTCCTTGGAGACTGCAAGCCAGCCAGCATTTTAGCACACACACTACAAGAGGATGAAGAAAGAGGATTTTAAGTAGGTCACCAGTAAATATGACCACGATGGATCTTTGTGTGGTTGGTAGTTTTGTTTGTCTGTCACTGGAGTCCTTCTCCGAGAGAAATGCTGGCGAAGGAAAGAATTCCTGCAACAGCAGCAAGGTGGGCAGCGCGTCCGGAGGAAAACGCGTGTTACCTTTCCGAAAGCAGCCTCAGACCTCTGGCGCGGGCAGGTCTGCCGAGACGAGCCACGCGCACGTCACCATCGCCACTGGCCCAGCAGAGCTGCTACCCCGTCTCCAGTACGGAACTGGGTATTTGGAGGGAGCTGCTGATAAGGTATATGGGGAAACGCAGGTTGTGATTTTAGGCCAAGAGGATTTAATGGAATCAGAGCATTATCCTCTTTCTTATTTCTTTTCCCACCTCTTGGGTCTCTTGTGCTGAGGAAATCAACCTCAAAGTGCTCTTCCCTACCCCGGGAGCTTCTTCCGCAGTGGGGAAAAAAAAAAAAAAGAAAAAAGAATTGGGAAGAAAACCAAACTGTCCCTTTGTTCCAGGAGCTCTGGGGAGCACTGTGTGTCTGCATAAAGGTGGGACAGGGACAGACGGGAAAAGGAGAGGGAGGATGCCCACGCAGTAGCTGCCTCCTCTCGGACGCTGCTCTCTGCCACCGTGCCGGGAAGCCAAGGCGAGCAGGGTGGGCGGTGGGACGTGCTGAGGCCAGAAGAGCTTCACCGTGTGGATAAAACCCCAAAACACCCCAGGAGGAGGACAACCGCCCAACCAGCAAAGCCACGTCAGCTGCCATTCCCTGCCCCTTGGCCGCAGAGCGGTCTGCGGTGCTCCCACACCGAAGTCCAAGCGCAGCACACGCTGGACCCACGATGCTGCCGTGGTCGGCACAGGATCCCACGGGCTCCAAAGCAAGACCACCGCCACAAGCTGCTCAGGGCCCCGTCTGTGCGGCTCCTCCTCCGGCACATGAATACCGCGCTCTGCCAGCCTGCGCGGGTTGAATGGCATCGCCGTGGTTCATCTGGAGAGGGAGCTTCAAGAGGGGAGAAAGGGGAAAATGAAGGGAAAAAAAGATATTCCCAAGTATTCCCCAAAAATTGGATTGTGGGTGCATGAGCAGGAAGAAGGGACCAGCTTGGGTTCGCTGGCAGACGCGCAGGAGTAACGCCATGGTAATGCGATTGCAATGCTATTTCAAACCCAAGTTCATATCCTATTCAGTTCTGCCTTTTGAAAAACTAACGAGCACGTTGTTTCTGATCCTCGGTTAATGAGTAGGCTGGGAGCGGGCAGCACTGGTTTTCTCGAGGTCCTCGGGGATACGAGCAGAGGTGGAAATTTTAGAAAATGATGCTCTATGGAGGGGGCTAGAAAGTTTCAGCATTTCAGGAGTTTTCTGATCCTGGAGGAATATCAGGCCACTCCCCATGCTCGGCGTGGACTTGGAGCTCCTTCTACCGCAACTTTCCCCAGGAGTGAAAAAACCAAAAGCCAATGAAAACAGACAAGCTCACGCACCTTCGAGGCAGAGCACAACATCGGGTGTGATCTGCAGGTGGAAGCAGCAGGTGCTATTTGGGCTTTTCCCAATTTGGTTTTGAATCGCATGGATTGCATTTATCCCTCAGCGCTGCAGCTAAATTAAATCCTCGAAGGAAACTAGCTGTAATGAAAGAGCATAAACCACCCCCTCATCATCCGTTCTGCTTCTCTCCTTGCCTACGTGGGTAACAAACCCATCACGTGAAGCGCCTTTTGCCAATTATTTATCAAACCAGTGAGCGTCGCTTGAAGAAAATGGTTCATTGTTTTTCCCTCGGCGATAGCTGTCGGCCGAACACCGCGGAGAAGCCGAAGGCAGCTGTAATTGCAGGCACTCCCACGTGAACTCCCAAGAAAAACCAGGTTGCTCCAGTGTGCCCGAAGGAGCTGCCTCGGAGCTGCGGGAGAGCCGGCTACGGAGTGATTAGGCTCAAGCTGGGTGGCGAGATAAGTGCCAGAGCCACCGACTGAAGCATTAAATAAAAGGATTGTCATGGAAGATCCCCCTTGCAACTGTTCAAACACCATCGTTCAGGTTTGAGCTCTTTTAGTCCCTCCAAAGCAGATATCTGCTGTGTCTCCCCCCACACATCTCCCGAGTACTTGATGTTCTACCTCAAAACCCCTGGGTTTTAAGGCAAACTGGCACGTCACTTTGATCATTTCCAGGCTTTACAGCTCTAAAGATGACCTGCCCCATTAGCCTGCTACCAGCAGCACTTTTTGAGGCCAGATTCTTTAAGGCGACATTTTTCTAATGTGAAATTACTTTTTTTAAAGCGTCTCGAAGCTGTACCACAGCTCACAGCGCAGCGTGGCGCAGAAACCGGGAACAACAGAGTTCACGTCAGCGTTATCCTTTGGAGTCTGTGATACCCGAGGGCATGATCCAGCCATCACGTCTGGGGAGGAGAAATGTCTGAACTGCACCTGGCTCCACTGACCAGAGATTTATCCCGGACACAGAAACTCCTCGAGATGCTGCATACTCTGAAGATGCAAATCAAACCGTTTGCGTTTATCCGCAGCACACGCAGGACTCTACTGGAAGAGAGATGGAGATGATGGAGAGCTGTAGAAAGCCGTGGTAATGCCCACAGCTGAAGGAGAAACCCTTTAAGCAGTCCTAAATCTCACACAGCTCTCTGTATCAAAAACAGCATCTCAAAAAAAGATGAAATTCTGCTTTCTAAGAGAGAAAACTGGAAGGGGCTTTGCTGTCTGGAGGCTCCAGCACAAGTGCTGGCTAAGAAATGGAAATTGGGGAATCCACACCCAGCATTCCTCTCTTTTGGATTTTTTTTCCCTCACTTAATTTAGCATTAAAACATCCTATTTGGATAATAAATTATTATATGTAACTACCGAGCTACGGCATGAAAAAACAGTTTCAGCCCGCACGAACAAAGCAGATTTTACAGGGAAATTTGCCTCGGATCATTCTCAACGCTTCTGTATTGAAAAAGGGGGGAAAAAGGCAACGTTTAAGCAATAGCAAATCAAAACTGATTTAGGGATCTGAAGGACTGAAATGAAGGCAACACATTAAAACTAACCACAAAAATGATCATAACTACACTTAATGCAAATCTTTTTTGTGTTACATAAACCCCCCACCAAACCCCAACAGAACTTTCTTTAGGAATTTGGCACAGTAAAGGGGAAAGAGGAGAGCCAGGACCAAAACACGCGAGCACTTATTTCACTCAGGTATTTGGGTAAGAAACCCAGAATTACAGGCTGGCAAAGGAGAATTTATAAGGAGAGCAATACACCAGGCTCAGTATATTAAGTAGATATACTTCCATTTTATACTGTGAACTTGATTCCGCAGACTGGCGTTTCTTTTTCAAGCTGTTTTTTGGCAGGGGCTTTAAAACTTGAGCTCAGACATCAAGTTCTGGATCTGTTGTAACATGATAAAATAAAAGCTATAAAGTCTGTCAAGAAATAAAAGTGGTTTTTGGTGGGTGTTTTTTTTTTTCCCCCCAAAGTCAGGTTAAGTACAGCCACATTTAAACACTCATTTATTTGACCTTGACTTCAGAAGGAATTGTTGGGACCCAGTATTTTTACCAAATATTTAGTCTCTATTTAAAAACTAAGTTCCTTAGACATTTCCAAGAATGTCAAGCACCAAGCGAGGGATCTTTACCTCATCCAGATTTTATCAGATAGATGCTTCACACTTTCCAGAACAAACCCAACCCTCTAAGCATAAAAATTTAGTTATGCGCCAAAGTCACTAATTACTTTTGAAAGAGCATTGAGTGCCTTTTTGAAAACAACTCAAATATTGAGTTCATGAGATGAAATGAACTGGGCAAGAGATCAATGGAAGGAAAACAAGCATAAAAGACAAATTTTTGCCTCTGCTGAAGATGCTGTAAAGTAGAAAACCAGAAGGAAAGTTTTGTTAGCGTGTACCGCCACCGCACTTTCTTTTACGTCAGAATGTAAAAAATAGCAGCAATATTGCTGATGAGGCTTATCGAACACCCAAAGTCTTCAAGAGAAAAATTCCTAAGGAAAAGCTGTTCTGGAGCTCGGATCTGGATCTGCTCCGCAGAGCTGGCGAACAGGCAGCCACTAAACACCTTTAATCAGAAATAACGAGACCCGAGGTAGGAAAACCACCCCGTGAGTGACTCGCTATAAACAAATAGGGAACGCATCAAGTTATGCTAACATTTAAGCATCACCTATGAGAGATTTTGAATCTCTGAAGGTTTGTAACCAGTAGCTCCTGGGTGCTGACAACCCCGACCAGCGCCGTCAGCAGCAACTCCCACGTTCCAGGGAAGGAAACAGGTTTCACATTTTGGCCGAGATCTCACAGTCGGTGGAAGAGCAGGCACTAAACACACCAGAATTCAAAGAAGTTTGAAGTTATGTGTTGACACCAAAAATATATCTGCATCCGTTTTGAGTCCAAATCTGCATTTTTTTAAAAAAGAAGTAAAACATGCTGGTATAGTTACAGCAGGCCACAGACTACGAGGGGAGCATAAAAGATTACTTCAGTAGCTCGTTTTCAAACGTAATATCCCTTTGCTTAAGCGCATGAGGCAGATGGCATGAATTACAGCCCCCTTCCCAAATAAAACAACAACAACAACAACAAAAAGTTTTATATGCCTGAGATTTGCGAAGCAGGGAGGTTCCCAGCGCACAGAGCGGCGGATGCCAGGACAGCTGCTCGGGGCAGATGGGTCCTTTGACAGCTTGATAATACTGACTTGCTGGTGAAACTAAGCCCTGGTAAGGCCAGCCAACGTGGGGCCATCTGTTTGCTGGAGAGGAAAGGCTCTTGGAACAGCAGGTAGCCAATGCTTTGGTTTGAAAATTAAACCAACAGCAAGATCATCAGTATTTACAACCTTGACTCGTGCAACCACATACGTACAGCTGGCAGCGTAACTCTGCCGCGTCAGATCACTCCTGCAGCGCCGCGCTCGGGTTTCAAGACGCGACTTGGGATGGTTTTTGTGAGCGCGCTACGGTTTGTGGCACCGAAGGCTCTTTAGAAGACGCTTTCTGCTTATGTCGGTTTGTTAACAGCGGGCAAGGTGATGGATCGGGTCAAACTTTCACAGGTTTGAATGAACGCCAGGAGCTGTAGTTCAAGACTGAAAATAATAATACAGTCAGAAAGGTGTGATAAGGAAAACACTGAATATAGCAGATAGCCCATAAGAAACATTTTTGTAAGATGAAATGTTCCCATTCACCTATTCCTAAATTAACACCTTCTCTGGAGAAAATCCACAGCACGCAGCAATAAAAGGGAAGCTCGATTGGGAAGGCTGGCGCGGCAGCTGGGGAACCCAGGAACTCCGTATCGCTGCCCCACAATGACTGCTCGGGTGTGATTTCTTTAATTGTTTTTACATTCTGATCATAAATTTCTCAAGGACAGGCGGGAGCTGGACAGAGCCTCATAAAAGGGCACGGAAAATGTTAAGTGCTCTAAGATATTAAAATATTCATATTGATGGTTTCTGTAACACCTGGAGAGGAAGAGGAGGAGGATGGGTTTGAATATTCTAGGACACTGCAAAACACGTATCATGGCTTCTGACAGTCTAAATGCTATTTTTTTTTTCCCCTGGACCACAAATAATCCTTCCAGTTTCACACTGCTGCTATAGACTCTCCAAGAACAGAAAGGATTCACCTCTTTTAGCCCAGTAGATCCACTACTTGGAAATAGAGAATGAACTGGGCAACTCAAATAACACTCTGCAAAAGGCTAATCAGACAAAGCATCGTTTGTTAGTGATAAATCACAGCGGTGTGGTGGGCTGAAGAGGACCTTTGGGTCACCAGAGAGCTATTTTCATAGGAATTACAGTTACTGCAGAAACCTGGTTCTAAATTTTCAAAGTAATCAATGATTTTTTTTAAGTGCCCTGAATAAGACTTCCTGAATACAAAAACAATTTTGGAAAAGATCAAGCAACTGAACCATCGGAAAAGTCATTCTCCTTCACATCAAGCTCCAATAACTTCTCAGTTCTTCCAAGATCTCCATCCCAGGAGGATTATGAGCATCTGCACGGAGCTTTAGCATCTAGGTGCTGCTTACAGAATGGAAAGCATCAAAGTTACGCAGAGATGCTGGTATAAAATAACTCGAACAGGTTTCAGCCCCAGCAGACTCCTCTTTCCAGAGGATTTTAGACAGAATTCATGCTGACAATGGGAGTAAGACATGGGCAGGCTAGGGAAGGAAAAGCTGACTGATAAACCTCTTTGTACTCAAAGGAAAGCCATAAAATATAATAAATTGCTACTATTCACGTTATAGGACAAAAGAATTGACTTTTAGATGTAGAGGGCAAGCGCTCAAATGAAGGATTCACAATTTTGCCGCAAAAATTAAACTCAGACTCTCGAAAGCCCAAGCCCCTCTCTCGAGCTCGTTTTGTTCTCAAAATAACAAATCCAGGATTGCAGGAGACAGTTATTTTTGCCATTTTGGGAACATATGGACAGATATAACAAAAAAATCTACTTTTCCACTGGGAGATGAAGGCTTGCCTGGTCAGGGAGTTCAGGACCCATTGCAGAGACAGGGAACAAACTCTGTTGCAGCAGCAGCATCGGGAAGATGAGTTTTAAGAAAGGAAACGATCCTCTTCCGAGTTCCTTAATGAGTTCCCTTCTAGCAGGACAAGTGTTTGGAAAAAACTCGGTAGCATCAACAGCTGAAGAAACGTTTTCCAAAGTATAAATAATTAAGAAAGAGAGTGCGCTTCGTTGGTGTGCTCTAAATTCCGCCTCTTCGTGCCCTGCAGTCACTGAAAGCAACAAATCTTTAATCCATGCAAGGTATTTTCCAAAGGAAAACTGTCATTTCTTAACCCAAGTTACAACTGTGGGGTTGACAAACTGACACAGGAATTACAAG